ACCCCCACCAAACACAAACGCAAGACATCCGATCCAGTGTCGAGTCTCCCGTGAAAGTGTGCCTCCAATTCAGAGCATAAACAAACCCAGTGAACGGAATTAACGACAGACCATTAAAGTGCCTGGAGAAGCCACCAGGAGAGAACAGGGGCAGTGGCCGGTAGGGCGGCTCCCAAACACCTCGTAAGCATTTACGGGCTTCAGCTCGCCTCCTCGCTTTACGTGAGGCCACACGCAATCCGTGTAGCTTTTACTGCCGCAGAATTCCTCAAATCAGCAGCGTGGACTCCATCTGAGCCCTGGGGATTTCACTCTCAGTCCAAGTTCAGCCTCTCCTACCAGGGAACGAGCGACATCATCTCACGACGCACCTACGTCAGACGCGTAAACAAAGGAACATGGGCTGGGTGCCGTGAAGGGTAACGGGGACACGACCCCATTGATTCTTATCCAGCCCCCCCATCCACTCGGAAGGGTTTATTTAAAAACATGTTATATTCCTGGAGGCATGTGTGTGTGTGTGTGCAGGGTGAGGAGACCCTAAAAGGAAAGTTCTGGACTGCTGTGGGGGGGGGGGGGGGGGGGGGGGGAGAAAGAAAGAAAAAGGGGGGGGGGGGGGGGGGGGGGGGGGGGGGGGGGGGCGAGTATCAGACCTTGGAGAGGGGCAGTGGGAGAAGGTTTGAGTCATCAAGCAGGAAGCAAAAGCAACAGTGAGGTAATGAAGGTGAATTTGAGGAGACATTTCAGATAAATGTGTTGGCTGGGGCTCCTCGACCAACCCCAACCCCCCCCCACACGGCTAACAGACAATCATCCCAGGGGATTATGGGTATTGCTTTCTGCTCAGTGACACCATTTCTAACAACCAAAATTAGTCCATACTATAACGTCACTTTATTTTTGTAATTTACGAACATTCTTATCTTTGTGCATTTGAAAACTGTTACTCCAGTAGTTGATTATTAAAAATCGTTAAACACCAAATAAGATGATTGTATGTCTGGCTGCCTTGATCAGCACAGGTTATGGGCACATCCTGGGGGCAGCTTCACTGGGGGCAGCTTCACTGAGGGCCCCCAGTGTCTGAAGCTCTCCTGCTTTCTATACACTGGTCCCGCTCACCCAACTAAGACCAGAGTGGTAATTTGGAGAACTACAGCAGATAAGCCAGGTGGCAAACTTCCATTTGTGACAGGCTCACCCTTCCTGGAGCTCCAGGAGTCTCACCTCTTACACATCTCAGGTGTGGGAAGATCTCAAAATTCTTTAAATGTTCTATAGACCCAGAGCACTCCAGGACCACCTGGGGACCTTCCTGGGGTTACTGAAGGAAAAAAGATCTCCAAAATCTCCTTTCTGGTCAAATAAATCCATGATGTCAGTCTGTTTACCTGGAATGTGTTTAATGCTTCAGAATACGCCAAGGACCTTCAACTCAACAGTCTATCATATGCTTCACATTGTTTTGAAATTCCCAGTTTTCTTTTATTGCTGCACTTTTAAAGAATGAATGTCAGACCTTCAGACATTTATGTACTATAAACGGGAATGTTTTAATGACAAATACTGAAGAATTGAGCCAGCTTTGTGGGTTGGGGGAGCAGCTTGTAGTAACGAGGGCGGGGTGGGGGGGTAGAAATCTTCTGGGTGTAACGAAATGAGACTCAGGTAAAGTATGTGTTCCTGTTTGGGCAGATAGCTGTGGGGAAGCTGGCTGAAGGCATCAGTGATGAGGACACATGACGTGTCAGACAAAGCGGAATAAAACGACAGCCTTTTGTGGTGTGACTCACACACTTAACCGTGTTCCGAGGGCAACCAGGAACCCATCTGGGCTAGCATTTCTGAGCTGGGAACCACAAACTCCAGCCTCTGTGAATCTGTACGGGGAGCTCTGTGAAATCTCAGCAGAGTTGAGGATTAGGTACAAGCCCCATCTGAGAAGATCTGGGTTCATAATGGTTACATGTACAGTACCAGTCAAAAGTCTGGACACACCTGCTTTTAATGTATTTAGCACTATTTTAGATTATAGTAAAATGGTTTGAGGCAATGATGTAATACATATCAAATACTGCAATGACCAAGAGAAGTCTCAAAATTTTTTCAAATTTTGGATTTTTCAAAACAGCCCCCTTTTGCTCCAACGACAGCATTGTAGACTCCTGGCATTCTTTCAACCAACTTCCAAATGTGGGCACCTGAGATGCTTCTCCAACAGTCCTGAAGGAGCTTTCACAAGTTCTGGGCACAAGTTGACTACCTTGCTCTTACTCTTCCCAAACTCTATAGAGTTTAGGTCGGGGGGGATTGTGGGGGCCAGGTCATCTGTCACAGCACTCCATCTCTCTCCTTATTCATAAGATAATACAGTACTTATATAACCTTGAGATGTGCTTGGGTTCGTTATCTTGTTGAAAAACCAACGATTTTCAGTAGGAGTTGGCAGACTTTTGACCGGTCCTGTGCATCCTTTGTGATCCTGTGCATCCTTTCACATGATCACAGAAGCTCCTAGAGCCAACCAACATCTGCCATAACGACCAATAGGATGCACTGGTGGTTAATGTGCAGAGGGGTCCACAGCTGCTCACTTAAGCCAATTTCCAGCAGTATAAACCGGTAAGTGCGCAGTTAAGAGACGTACGTATAAGCCTGGTTCATATAAGCAAACAAGCACAGCAAGCACAACCTGCTGCAGTCCCACCAACTCACTCCACCTGGCTGTCAGCATCAAGGTGTTATATCTGAAAAACCGGTGGCAAGTAACTGACAGGGCACTAGAGCAGGTGCAATATTTGGCGACTGTCCAGCCCCCCGGGGGGGAGGGGGGGGAGCGGGAGGCGGGGTCAGATGCCATCGCCAAGATGCTTTCCAGGTCAGTCACAGACGAATGCAGTGGTGCTGGTTCCCCCCCCCCAAAACAGTGAGCACTCCAGGGCACCTGACACACAAAAAACATGCCAGATGCCTTCTGTACGGCTCGGGAAAGGAATGGAACAAGTGCGCCCCCTGGTGAAATTGATGGGAAATTCAACCTTTGACGTCACACAGGAGAGCAGAGAACCAAGTGTTTCATTTCTGAATACATCCTATTCTACAGAGTTTGAGGCCATTTATATCTCCTGACATACTACAGCTTAAACATCTGAGTATTGGCTCATGGCTTGAAGGTAACGAGCCAATCAGGTGGGGGAGTCAGGGTGGGAGAGCCGCTGTACACGTATCACTTCCGACTGTCGAAAGTGGCTGTGGTGGAGGCCAGCTGACAGCCAGGAATGTATAAAGAAGCGGGTGGAGACGTTTCTGCCAGGGACTCCAGTGAGTTGGAGAATGTCCTGTAGAATTTCGGCAGGATGGTGGCCATGGCGACCAATGGCCTAAGAGCCACATGGGGGGGGGGATTGCATGTCTGTGGAAACTGAGAGGACAGGGCCC